AAAAAGTCATGAATAATTTGTTGAAGGCACTAGTCTATGACTCATTGTAAAAGAACATAATTCGCAGCATCTTTAGTCTTGCAAATATGACAAGCGGGAAAAAATTTACAAAAATATGCTGTAAGGCATTAACCATTCTTAAGAATAACCATTTATGCCTAAAACTTTGCTCTGTTTAATCTGTGATTTCATAGCTCCTTATTTCCGTCCCATTGACTAGCTCTCAAACTTTAGGTCCGTAACCATCTATCAAAGTCTTCGATGCAGTGACAATGATTTGTAGTCTTTGCACAATTTTATGGCATTTTCGCACCACATCTAGAACTTTGTAGAGTTTCATCTTAATAATTGCTGAAGCTGTAAAAGTTTCAGTCTCTAAAAGTATCATCTTAAGCTCTCCATCATTTTCTGTCTTATTTTTGCATTTGTTTCTATCATCATTCAAGTTTCATTTGCTTATTTTTTGCACTTTACTCAGGGGTCGACTCTCAAAAGTTCCAAGTTATACGGTAGATCGTTGGTTTTTTATTAATTGTTTCTGTCAAAAAAATTGAAAAGGTTAGTTGAACAATGACGGTAAATTGATAAGTTCAAGTAGTGACAGTGTTTCTTCTTGAATTATTTTTTCGCTCTCTTGCAAATTCATACTTAATTCCAAGCTGAAAAGTCGCATGAACTCTTGCACGAAAAAATTGTAATACAACAGCATTCCTATCAATAAATAGCGTTAAATTGCATGAAAATCACTTTTACAAAAATATGCTCTTTCATTCAAATGTCTCATGTTTATAAACAGTGACATCATCCTCATGCGTCATATGACGTTTTCCCCTTCTTGAATGGATGCCAAAAAATATTTTTAGTGTAGCATAATTAGACTTTTCCAAAAGATGAATGTCTGTTATATTTTTGTGCCAAGTTCTGATTCTCCCACGTGACCAGAAGCGTCGAAAACAATCTTCTTGCATAAGAGTAATGAGTAATTTCTTCGTTGCCATGTGTTCAAAAGTGTTTTTGAAATTTGCGAGCGCCATACGGGAAATGCGGAGAAAAATAGCTTTTGGCGTTTATACTTGTGCTCCGCTTTTCAGTTAGATGGCTGAAAATCTATTAGAGAAACATATAACAATAATTGAGGCATTTATTTGATCTCTGGCAGGACCTAATGTCGTATTATCTCCTATGACTGAAAAGATTTATAAGGATAATGGAGCTTCCATTAGGAGTCGGTAGTTCAATATCTATAATCTGTAATTTTAACTGGCTTTAGCATCCAAATTTGTCGTTTTAATTTACTAAAATTTGTGAGTTTCTGAATCTTTTCAATGCTGCGTAATGTTGACAATTTCCGACTCAATTTTCTCAACCCAATAGAGATGTGTAGTTCTCCAGAATGATTCCCGTTTGAGAAAAATTCCTCTTCAGCTATAAATTATCAAGGCTCAAGATATGCAGTTTGCTAGAGAAATAAAGATCTTCTACCCATTTTTTGCTCTAGATATCACTTTTCGCAGAATGTAAGTCTTCAGTGGAGAGCTTTCTGCTCAGTTAAACAAACATTTTGAAAACAAGACAATGACACCATTCTCTATCTTACTCTACGGTGATGGGTAGGAAATGTGAACAATTTTCTTGGACACCTTTGATGTATTGGTTGTCAACATCTTCATTATCTTTTAGAGCTTTGGTTATGTATAGCTCATTCCGCTCCCAAACCAATAGTTTGATAAAAATAAGTTTGATTTTTGAGTGCGAAATATTTTAGCGAGCAGATCGTCTTCAAAATATTTGTTTCTACGTAAGGCATGGTATGTTCATCCGATTCCCCGCCAGCGGAAAACCGATTATGGTTGAGAAATTCCATTTGTTTTCTTTGCACTTCGCTAGTAGTCAGAATAAGATAAGTTTCTCCGTTGCATCAACGTTTGGTTCGGCAAATTCTTCCTAAAAAGGAAAAGGGAGAATATTCATAAACTTAGTTACTCCTTTCTCTGTTAGACTTAACCGCAAAACTTCTAAAGAAGAGCAATTGTTAGACTTCAAACCATCTTGAATTCTGATTTTTGAATATTTTTCACTTTTAAAACTCCAGTCACTTATTTTGGTTATGAATATCTGTCTACATAGTTCTCACATCTCGCTTTTTCTGCACCCATTCACGCCCTACAATCGAGTTATTTTGCTGGGACCCATATGTTCAATTTATTTGCAAATAGCCATGGGTGCAACTGTCTGTAAACGCTCTACATAGTAACTCTCTCTCTGCTCGGCCTTGCTCACCATTCCGTCACTAAATTTTTCAGAACATTGAGTCGCTCGAAAGCGAAGCTTTTGAGCCGAAGCAATGAAGCGTAACTTTGCCTGGAGTAGTCCTTCAGCCTCAAACAACTCGTTCTAGGGACCTGCAGTCTAATTAGTCTACGTACAAAGATCGTTATGATGTCTGTGTCCTCGAATGATTTTGCAGAAAATTATCTGCAACATTGAAACTTACTTTTATATCCCTCTAGGATTTCAGTGCGGGAAATGCAGCTGTGATTTTCCTCCGTTTCGTCCGCTTTCCTTGAAAGAAATGTATTTAATGGTATTCGAGTTTTTTTGGGATTCCCAACAAGAAGGAAATATTGAAATGAAATTGAATACAATACAAGACATAAAGTTGTTAATTAAAGAACTGATTGCATCCGAACTTTCAAATATTAGGTTGATGCAAAAGTTCTTTCGCAAAAAATTCAAAAATTCATAACTTGTTGATGTCAACGAATTTACAAGAACTAAATTTTGTATAAGAGAGAAACTCATGCTCTTTGCAAATATGCTTGAACTGTTCGTTAATGTGTACAAATGAAGGAGATAGAAGCTCAGAATCAAAATCACTCAAAATTTGAATTTTTCGTGTAGGGTCGTAAAAAATCGGAGACTTGCAACAAAAATTGGAGCAGTCGGTACTGTGGGTTCCCTCACCAGCTCTTTCCAACAGTGCAAAGTTTGAGCGATGATTTCCCTGAAAAATGCCAAAATAAATCAAATTCGTCCTTTTCTATTGCTTGCTCGAAAATAAACTTTTTATAGAGACGCTCAATCGGCGCAAACTTTGCACTGTTAGAAAGGGCTGGTAAAATAACCTACAATACCGACTGCTCCTGTTTTTGTTGCAAGTTTCCGATTTTTCATGACCCTACACAGAAAATTCAAATTTTGACCAAATTTCTTCTATCGCTCCTATCTATGCAACAGATGCCCACTAGTAAAAAGCTAAGATGTCTTCATAAAGGGCATGACTTGCTCTTTCATACAAAACTAAAAGCAGTCAAATCGGTTAGAAAGTTCGGAAGTTATGAATTTTTGAAAATGGTGCGAACGAACTTTTGGTCCAACCTAATACTTGTATATTTACATCACATTTTTCATTTACCACATTTATATCCACATGTAATTTATTGCAAAATATGCCTATCCTTTTTCTGAGTTTTTCCTTGGGAAATCTTATGACTTGAAAGGGAAAAATGACCTTGTGACGAGTAAAATTTTTTTGAATTCCAAGATGAGTAGGAAGAAACACTCAACTCATTTTTTAGTTTTCTTTTGAATTTTTGCTTATATGTATCATTCTGTTTGAACATTAAACGTTCTTCTAAACACCTAATGTACATTTGTGGAATTTCCATCTCCACTGATTCAAGGTAAAAGATTTTTCTTCTTACTTCTTTCCTGTTGTTTATTGGAAAAACTGTAAAATTTACATATCGCCCCTTTTTCTACCCTAGATCCATTGTAAACAATAGCTGTCATCCCAGCCAAACTTTTCAATTTGGTTGTTTACTCGGTCCGTTTCGTTCAAATGACGTTCAGTACGACGGAAATTTCATTAGATTCATTTTCCAATCGGATTACTGCTCACATTCTGAGAATGCTTTTCGATCTCAGAGTATTCTGAAATTAACTTGATAAAAAAAGACTTAAAATGTCTATAAACCCACGCTTCACTGGCGTAAGAATAAAAAAGTATATTAAAGTGCCAAATTTAGCCATAGTGAGGTAATGGAATATCATCAACGGGATTGACTTGACGTCATTACTATTCAGTCCACGGATCTATGTTTTGTAGTGTGAAGAAATGCGTAACTATGGCAATAGTAATGATATTTAGCAATTCTTGCACAAAAAAAAATAATGAGCTCTTGGGAAGGGAGTCTTTCTTTCTTGTATAGCTCTCTTGCTTGTAAATGTGAGAAAATTCTTTTGAAGACATTACTATAACTTCATATTTCCGCGTGCCATCAACAAACTCAGGAATTGCACTGGTTTCTTATTGTGTACAGCGTTTGCTAAAATGTAAATACTTCGTTTGCCAAAAGCTAGAAAACCTTTTTTATAATTTTTCTCACATCAAACTCGAAGAAATCGATACCGTGAGACTTTTATGGCATTCTCATCGGAGCCACTGTTTTCTATTGTTCTATTCTACTCCACACAAAAGTTATTCTGAATCATGGTTTCTATGGCTTTAAAAACATTCATAATGTTCAGATTCCTTCATAGTCTCAAGATTACCTTTTTAGCATAAGTTCACCTCTGAATTTCTACTATGAGATCGTTTATTTGAGCTATCAAGAAAACATTTTCTTCTTGAGTGGGACTCAATGAAATTTGAAAAAATAATTTCAACCATCAACTGACATGTAGAAATCTTCTCATTCTTCATCTACAGCTACCCATGGTTCTATACTACTCTTGAATTCTGTCAACCATTAGTTCCCTTATTAGTTTTATGATGTCAAATGTAGAGAGCCAGCTTGCTTGTGCGATTTAGCTCGTGAAATGAAAATAACTCTGTGCTGATACAATTAAAAATTATAAATGTTCGCCTTTCTGCTGTAGCCTCCTACTTTTCATATTTAAAACCCTTTCATCTTCATTTCTCTGCTTTTTTTTTCTACGATTCGTGTTCAATCATACAGATGTGCTGAAGAGTGTGGTAGAAATTAATTTTCTTGCAGATGCCATTGGCCCCACTAGGTGATCCATTCGGTCTGACTCCGGAAGATGTCAACATCACTCCATCACCGGAACAGCCTCCGAAACCGGTGCGTTTTTAATGAATAAGATTTCACATCTCATGAAAGATATTCTTTTCTCACAAGGGAAGTCACTTAACTTAAATCAGGCTTTTGAAATGAGACACATATATTCATAATCAGCTCAGAACGCTGATTCCAAATATGCTATCCTTACCTGCGAAGCATTCCTCTGAAGCGAGTTATGAGCTTTTTTAGTAGGTGTCATTGACATACAACTGAATATGGAAAGAAGGTCTTTAGATGAAAATCTGCCCAAAAAATGGTGGAAAATCAAAATAACATCAAACTGAGTCATTTGGCTTTGATAGGGTATAATATGCATTTGAACCACTACCTAAACGATGATACCGTAGCATGCCTAAGTCGGTCAACATGCAAAATTTGCTCAGGGAAAAGCTCATAACTCGCTTAAGAGGAATGCTTCGCAGCTAAGGAAAGCAGATTTAAAATCAGCTTTCAAGCTGATTCCAATCATATGTGTCGCTTCTCAAGAGGCCGACCTAAGTTAAATCGGCTTTGTGCCGTTCCCTTTCAGTAAAACAACTGAAGCAATTTGGTCTATGTAATAAAAACTTGAATAGAGTCTATAGATAAAGTCAGAGTCATAAGCTTGCTAAAAATTCAATAAGCATCGCAAAAAATCTTCAGAGTTGAAGATTCACCGAAAGTTGAATAGTTTTTAATTCAATACCTTTTAGATATGCTCGCCAAAAGCTTGAATTTTTGACTTTGGTATTATTTGTCTACGAAACAGAGAACGTGTGTTTAATGTTAGTCGAAGGCTTCAGTTTTTTTTCAAAAACTGCTTATAGGAAACAGTAGTAGCTGAAAGACAGTAAGAAACACAAGCTTCTGGAAAGTGGACTTAAGTTCTAGTGGATAGTTATATCGTGCTTGGGTAGCCGTAAAAGATCAGATCGTAGCACAAAAAGCTAAATATTTTATTTGTAATAGTTGCATCGCAATCTATACTTCCTAGTGTAGATTTTAAAACGGCTGATGCAGTCGGGTACGTAAGTTACGTACGCAATATACTTACGCTTTTAACAAAGTCTACAACTTCCTGGTAGCTAATACCAACTCGTGATTACTAATGAGCTTTCAATCTCATTTCCACAATCAGAAAATTCATGAATTTCACTTGAGTTCAGATCTCATTCTGACCTCCCCATTACAGCTATTAACCGCTATCAACCACCAACCCTTATCATTTTTGTCTTTAGTCTAATTTACTTTGAGCTATTTATTTAAAAAAAGCTAAATCTCTTCCTCTGACATTGTATGACTATAAATTACAAGACATGCAAGGGCTAGAGCAATCGCGCATAAATTACAAAGAAATGGTGACACAACAGATTGTAAACCACTGCTGTCGCTTTTGTATAAGCTTATCAAACTTCAAACAAAGCAGAACTCACAATCGCGACACTGTTCCTACAGAAATTTATGGCTTGCGAGTAAATTCAATTACTTGCAAGGTATTCACATTCAGTTTCTTCTCAAGCTTGATTCTTGATGCGTCACCAAATCTTTGCAGAAACTTCGTTTACTCCTTGTTTTTTGACATAATGATCCTTTACACATTCATGTGGATTCATGATTTGTTTTCACGTCCATTTATTACATTGTAAGGGATCAAAGAAAGTCACTCTTGCCGGATGTATGGCGAGAAAGTGTTATCATGAGCAAAACTGGTGAAACTAAGCAACTAGCTAAAAGCTGGATTTATTTCTTTTACTATAGCTGGGGAATATCATAAAGGTAACCACACGCTTTTCCTGCAAAAATCAGGTTTTCCCATAACTTCCCGTTTTCAATTTTTTTCCAGGAGTTCATCACAGATTTCATTCCACTTCAAGTAAAAAATTGAAAAAAAATCTTTCAGAAACCCGAAAACTTGGAAGAATATCAGAGCACTGCTTAAAATTTTAGGAAGTTCTAATTTGTTTAGGCACATACACCTCTCATCTAGTATTCATACACATATATGCATCTTTTCGGTCTCTAGAGCGAGAAAACGGAAATTTGTGATGTTTTTCCAAAGCGATGCTGAGCTCATTTTGAGTAGGCAGAAATTTCATATTATAAACCATTGATTTTCAGCCTTCTATGGGAGATAGTTTTCGAGAAATCCCAAATTTATAGTGAAAACCCCTAGAAAGGTGACTTTTGATATTTTTGGCCTATCTTGGTATCTCGGTTTCTAGCACTGGGAAAAATACAGCAAATGTGCATGAAAATATCAGTTGAAGAATTTGTACGCGTGAGCAAGCTAGAGGTCAAGCTGTTGGGTTTCTAAAATTTTTTAGATTTTGCTCTTTAACATAGTGTGAAATTAACTCTGGGCATAACTTTAGATGCATCTTTGGGCTCGCTTTGCTCTATAGACTATCTGATTCTTTACGATCAAGAAAAAAGGGGTTATTGGGATGAAATGCGAAGGAACTTACGAGACAATGACCCAGTATAAATTATGAACTTTGAACTTTGCTTCTTCTTTCACGGACCACTATGTAGGGAATACACTAGGATCATATCCTTTTATCTATCCACGCAGTTTGCCAAAAATGCTTGCATGGCAAGATTAGATATTTTTGAGATAATCTTTAATATAATTTTCCACATAAGTCTTGGAAAGTCTGATGATTACCTGCGATCAATTGGTAGTGATCTATATCAATTCGTGACAATTAATTGCCCAAACGTCTTAAGTTACTACGCGGATGTGCCTTTTATCCGTATGTTTGCACTTTTTTCAAATTATATGTTTGCTATATTTTCGTGTTATCTACCTCTCGTTTGATAGTAAGTGAAAATACTCAAATTCTGAAAAAATTGGCTTTCAACTATCAAAATAGACTTGTTTTTGCTTTACCTCTCGCACATTTAGTCACTTTTCTTTTTCAAATAGCCACCTGTCAAAAGTCATGGAAATTCTTTTCCTTTCCTGTCCTTTACTAGATTGCTACCTCCGAAAATATCTCCGAAGCATTCTCCCTGAATTTTAGCCCACATAAATAATTCAAATAAAATGAAACTGAAACTGTGAGGGATTACCTGGCATAATCTCTCTAATCGTACAATTATCAAACTAGTTTTCAGAAAATGCGTTTGGCACGAGCACTGCGGCCATTAACCATACCATTAAATCACTTCATATATCATACTGTTGCCACAAAAACTGCCATTTATCTCGACCAAAAAATTTTGATTTCAATTTTGTCTGCTTAGTCATCTTGAAAATTACAGAGGAACAGATCAATATGTTTCTTGACTATAATATAAACTAGGGTGGTGCTAAAGGAGGCTTTCATTAAACATGGTTTGATCAAATATGTCTTTGATTCTGCTGCAAGGCATTCACAAAGATTTTTCGCTTCTAATTTTTGAAATTTTGCTATATATGTGGCGTTTAGACGTGATTGTCAGACATATTCAGAGAATGCTTTCCTAATCTTGCTTAATTCATTTTCGAATATGACTGGGACGATATAAATTTTCCAATTACTAAAGTCCTAAAGTCAATCAAGTTTTTACTCCCGCACATTTCTTCTGCCACTTATATGCTTAGCCAAAAAAGTGAATATTAGCAAGAATGTTTTCTATTTCCTGAATTTTGCGATTTGGAGGACTTTGCAGGTGAACTTCTTTGGTAACGAAATTTCTTCATGCGTGAAGACCTTATGAACTTGAAAACAGCAAAGATCTTAGTTTAATTCTTTCATTATCGTTCTACAAGAACTTTAAGGATAGGGAGAAAATAACAAAGAAAACATTTGCCAGCAGAACAAAAAGATAAACTCTGTACAAAATATAACCTTGATTTTTGCGAAAATAAAACGGAAAAGTTAGTAAAAAAAGTTTTTTTTTTTCGGGAGTAAAAAATCAGATATGGGTTGGTCGATCTCAAAATTTCAAAACTTTCTGCGTGAACATTGTTAATTGCCAATTTCTGTGTGCTTCTCACAATTTGATTGTAGTTGGAATTTGAAAATTGCTAATGTCCATGTTGTACTTTGAATGACGCATATGACGAGTAATCCGTCCATCTTTTGTTTAGAATTTTATTACCTTTGTTTGAAAAAAAAATTTTCGACTTTCATTGTAAGTACACGACGTTTCTTTGTAGTGAGTGCTTTGTACTCAAACTACGATGTATTGTGTTTTGATGTAAAGTCGATCCTTCTGATTTAATGTCAGGCATTCCTATTTAGTTCAGAAGAAAATTTGTCAGTTTTAAGCAGACGTCTTTGATGGAGATTTCACTCTTACAAGAATTCTATGATTTTCGCTGTTTTCAGTCTCATTTTTTACTGTTTATTTGAACTCACCACTGAGGTTTTGTGATCTCATAAAGTAAACTAACTGATGCCTGAGATGTCTATGATTCTGAAACGAATTAGGGATAGAGGAGTATAGAAATGAGGGTGGAGATAAGCCCATAAGCCTGGGGGAAATGCCCGAATAATATGCAGATGATTGAATTGGAGTGGTTTGTGATCGAGTTCGGCAGAGATCTAATGCGCCTTTTAAGTTTTAATCTATTAAAGTAGTTTGTGGACAATAAATAAATTTTTTTGTCACCGATTTTCATCAATTTTGTCATGCCATTCGGCGGCCTTCAAGTTTCATCATCAAAATCTTTTAATGGTCTTGAATTTCCGACAATTTTCACCAACTTTATTTATGTTTCATACTCATAATATTTGTAATTTTATTGAGTCTAAGCAGGAAAATGTTCTCTCAGAGTCAAAAGCAAAAATTTGTAAACATTTAAGTAATTTCTGCTCGATGTCTTATAATTTTGCTTCATTTTGATACTTCAAACATTTGCATAATTATTGTGCAATGTCACAGTGTATGCAAAAGTGCATAGATTTCGCAACTAAATTTTAATTATACAGTTTTAGTTTCCTTTTTTGCTGCTTGCTGACGTCTTAAGATTTGAAAAGGCAGTAATAAGTAGTTTGCAAATCTGGGTTTCTCTAAATCGTTTCGGGTAAATT